CTTCCACAGTTACGAATATGCTGCTAAAGAAGCACGCAAAAAGGATAAAATTCGAAATGGGCATTTCCTTCTTTCTTGAAACACTGAACGAAGCCTGAAGGAGGTTCTCGAGAACCCCAGTTAACGATAGAAAGTACAGGCCGTTCAAAGACAGCTCGTTTCAGAACGGCAAAGTATACAACACAGGTAGCGACGCGCCCCGCTCAACTGCGTTTTGCTTGATTCCATCCTACAGAGAGATCGCCTATACCACTGGAGTATGATTGCAGTGTTGCATTTTGAACACTGATGCGCCCATATACAAACCACATACCTGAGCAAAAGCTCATTTTACGCTTTCTGGCTCGCATACGAGCGGTAAACATCCTCGGAAAAATATTTCTTCCTCCTCGGTCTGGTTAATGGTTTAATTGGATGTGCAACCCAAACTAAACTTTCACTTGTGCGCGCACGAGACCTAGGGGTGATTTAAAGCTGAATTTGAAATATTTCGATCCCACTTGGGCATAGAATATTTTCACACAACGTCTACATTTTAGTTTCACCGGTTGATGAACTGCATATCGTTACAAAACCTTTGACATTTCAAAATGCGCCATACAGGTTTGCACCAAGGATTATTTGAAGTATACATGCCCGCGTAACATAACAAATATTCTCGTGAAGACAGGGACTCAATTCAGTCTCGAGTTGACATTTTGGTAAAAGTGTCTGAATTTCAACTTTGGAGTGTCCGCGGGTATGCGCTGAAGCTGAGTTTGAAATCTTTAGGACACAGAATATCCTTGTGAAGTCTCAGTCTCCCATCCTGTTCCGGTTTCCGAAATTGTCTTCCCTCCCCTCCCTCTCCTACCCCCTCCACCCCGCCCCCCTCCCAGAAATTTACATAAGTTTCTTAAGTCGTCCATACATGAAACTCAAACACACGTGAACCATGACTGCTAATTTGAAGGCAGGATGTAAAACACACAAACAACACACACCAACCTCTAGACAATATGTGCATGAATTTGCAAAGAGATGTAAAAATGCAACAAAATGAACTCGATGCACCCACGATCAGACAGCAGGTGGCATGTCGATATGCTCATGGTCATAGAGCAGGATTGTTAAGGATTTGAGAGTTAAGTTTGCCTCGGTCGAGAAATATGCGACGCAGTTTTTGGCCGGAGATTAAAAGTCTGCCTGCTGAGGTATGGATTAGTAAAGAAAGGAGAAGAGTGAATGCCAGTTATGACACAGACAACAATGAAGCCAATAATGTTTGAAATATCTCTTCACGACTGTGCATGCAACACATCCTCCGTCAGGTATAGAAACTGACTGGAAAGACATGTTGCTCGCTTTGTTAACAGTTTCTGGACGTCGCGGATCAATGAGAAGTGCCTATGACACCTGAACGGTCTCAAAAAAAATGGTGCACATACACTGTACAGACAGTGGGTATTAGCTGTAAATGCACAGTTCAGGATCGAAAGGCCTGGCACCTCTTCATTCAGGGCATGAGTACATCCCAGCAAAATTATCAGTATCTCTTTCTCAGCGATTATCTTGGCGATCTTTTAGAAAACGCTGGTAAGAAAAGACTCCGAAAAGAACTTACAGAAACAACGACTCATTTTTGCTCGAGTCAAAACTACAACACTTTTGGAGAATTAGCACTTCAATTTAACCTTGTTTCTTCTCGCGGCTTCAAGTCGAATTTACTTGGGATATACTCATTCTCCACTGGCAGGCTCAAA